CATTTGAAAGCTCTTTGTTTATGCAAGCTCTCTGTAGGCCAATAGAAAAACTATGATGGATTGACACAGTCCTATAGTTTTAAAAGATTTGTTTTCGAATCTCAATAGCTTTTGAGTTAGCGTCAAACGTGTGTGGAATATATTAGAATTTAGACGATGTTAGAGAGGCACAGGTACATGAAAACTAGACGTTCCGATAGTGCCATAAATGTCGTTCATTTCTGCTCCTTTTATAGTACAATTGAATGCGGTGTTATCTTCTTTCTGTTAGCCTTACTTATTCAAGAAATCTTAAATTATTTATAACTTTTACATCACCTTTTTGATTGCGAATAAGATACAATCATTTGGTTTCATAAGTTAGGCGCTTTAGTTTTCCCATAGCTGTCATTGGGGAGACAGCCTATCGCCCCATCTACCACGGTAGTGGACAATCGTCCTAACAAAGCATCGTCGGCTAGTTCTAGCTTTTTCCCACGGGCTAACGGTCAAACCCCAAACCCAGTTCCAGCCTGCAACTATTCCTACGGTACTCTAGCGCAAAACGATGTACAATTCTAGCTGAGTATGAAAAGTAAAGACATTGTAAAGGAAAGCGGCATTGTAAAAGAAACAATAATGCGTTCGACCTCTGTGGAGCAACAACGTATCGACGCGTCGAGATCGCGATACAAAAGGATGACCGATAACTTGTATATTCTCTCGATGACAGAGGAAAACATTGTTTGCGTTTCGACCCAGTAATTTGAAAAAAAATTCAACGTCATGTTTCTTTATGTTATCGGCTTGACGAGCAGAAATATTTTAGGATATTCAACACGCATGCGTAAGATGTTTGCTAATTCTATTTACGTTAAATTAACTAACAGTGTAATACTTTGTATCTAAGTACTGTTTACAAAACGCAGGAAACAAAATAAGAAACTAAATCAGCACGATAGCCAAACTAAATGCATAAAGGCGTTTATTCATTTGTTTTTTAACAACAAAAGAAGGCTTTTATTTGATTATTAATATAAATGATAGTTGAGTTGTTGGGATATAGTGTAATACAATATCGGCGTGAGGTCGTTGCGCAGTGCGCGGTGACGGGGCACGCACCAGTTTACGCTATTCCGGGCGGGCCTAATTTTAACCATCTGCGTCTCCCAGTCTAGTTTTAGGAAGTGGGCCGACACGCTTTCGGCGAATCAATCGAGCATAATCTACGCATTCAGTTCCAATTTTAATCCGAACCAATAAACGCGAACAGAACATCTCTATAATTGATTTTTTATAATATTAAACCGTTTGTGATAAACTATGCCATTCATAACGAAATTTTAAAAGGAATCCAATTATCGAAATAAAACGGACAGTCGCATCTTGCGAGATATGCAACTAAATCTATAATGGATGAGAAGGGTCCAGCGTCAATCCAGTAAACGAGACCGCATGAACACAGGCGCATACATAATTGAACAAGCCAAGACAATAGTTGCACGTTTATTCATTAATCTAATGGATTAGTGATGACATTGGGGAATCGGGACTCGTTTCGCAGCAGCGAATAAATTTCAATTAGAGCAATCAGGACGGGCAGTCGCGGAAGTCTCTGGATCCGATGTGTACGGGATAGTGGGGCCTTAGCTTGCATACAGAAATTGTCATGCCCAGCGCATACAAAAGAGGACCTCCACTGCTAATCATTAGGTTTGCGGTAACCGAGATGTGAGCGGAATTATACCCGATACAAACGCTGATTTCGCATTACTTGGCACCAAGTTCTAGGATGTCAGTGTGCTTAATTAAATACTTTAATTCCATGACTCATTTTCAAGTTAATTCTGTGCACATGGCAACATAAACTTTCACATTTAAAAATATTCGATTTCTTACATTTAAAATATATGTTAATGATTAACATATCTTGACGTACTTTTTTGATTTGTGTGCATTATATGTCTTTACTTACGAAATAAAAGTACATATGCTATTAAACTTGGCCCTTTCTAAGGTATGACAGTGATTAAACACGTCAAAAAAGAAAAAAATATCGTTTATTATGTCTGCAAAGACGGTTCAAACAAATTTAAGTGACATTAACTGACACTATTAAAAAAATCATAAACAAAAAATGTCTCAAATAAGCTGGCGACGCTTGGCGCTTTCGACTTTACATTCGCCGACTTAACGATTGGGTATGACGGTACGGCCATTGTAATTTGTATTTATGCGTATACAATATAATAAGGATTTCGAAAACATTACGAAGTCACAAAATCTCGTACATAAATACATACTGAGGAACTTGGACATGCCAACAGCGGCTGAATTATGCAGACGAAGACGGACTGCTCACTCATATTTACGTAGATAATGCAAACTTTAAACATATTTATAGGAACCACATTGAAACGATTTCACCGTTCCACCGCCTAACTAATTACTCAACTACGAACGCAAATTTAAATTCCCATTTTTCTACTTGAAAGTAACACAGCAGGGGCGGATAAAGATTACCAGCCTTTATTCTTAAACATTTGTCTTTCATCGGGGTGGTCGCCGGTTTACTAATTACAAGGCACAGCCCATCATTTAATACGAATTTCGCAAACATCAAATAATTAAAAAATCGATTCGGCGGTGCGTTCAAGCATCAATAATTAAATAATTACCGCATCTGTCGTTCTGTGTGATTTTGAGAAATCTTCTTGAATAAACAGGTAATTTTTATTTTGAAACTACATAACAAAAATTACAAATTACCGATAAAAGCTTGTTGTTTTTAAACAAAATCACTGGTAGCGATACAACGCATACAATTATAAATTAGATGAAACAAAAAACTAGAACAATAGTATTCGAGCGCTTCTTATTGGCTATAAAGCCTTCGATGATATTGTAGTTAATCCCTAAACCACACGCGGTGACGATTACAACGCACCTATTAGTCAAATTAGCTTTATTGTTGCTACAAGTCAGGGTTGCACAAGAGCAATCGGCTTACACACGGACAATTATGCCTCACAATACGATGAGTCAACAGAAATTGCTGGGGCGTTTATCAAAACAATAGTCTTGATAAGTTAATAAAGCAAGGCGCGAGAGGTCTAACGAGCGATTATCGAGCAATATCAAATAGGCGCGTGTCTCGTGCGTGTGACATAGAATATATTACAGAGATGACTCACAGCCTCCATTCCAATCTTGGAACTGCAGACTAAAAACCGATAACCTAGATCTAGTGACTACACAGTTTTCAATCCCGAGACACGAAATGCCAAGTTTTAAAACCTAAAGTGAAAATATTGCGCATTGAAAGCGAATCTCAAGAGCTGTTACGAAACATTTAGACAACGAATGCAAGATTAGGAGATCTGTTTGTAGCGAGGGCACTGACCGAATTCCACATTTATACCGCTAATTCATGCACAAGAGTATCTGCATCCTACAAAGACCATATTACGAGCATCAACTCGGAGCATAGCTAAATACCGTTTCGCGCTCGACTGCAACAATAACACGTGAAGAATACTTAAATAATCATAACAACGTACATGACTCTAATACAAATAATTATTTCTTTAGAACTAGACCACGAAAATGGTGTACGCTAGTCATGATTAAATATATTAGAGAGAGCCAAAGAGACGGCAGACTCTTATCTCCTCAGATCGTAATTACACCGTGTATATTTTGATCCAATAGACTTATCGACGATGCGTGAACAATAACTGTCGACGTTGGCGCGGTCGTGTTAACCTGCGTGTCAAACTTAGCCAATCCTGGGAATAGATTTTTATCGAGCGAAACAAGAGAATTCATATAATCAATTTAGTAATATCTATTGTTAAAATTTGAAAATTGTTTTATATGGGACATATACATATAGTTTCTTAATATTAAAACCTGTTATATTAACTATACTAAGCCAAACCATGGGGTAGTACACAAACTTCCGGATATTAATATCATACTTGACAAGCAAGTGCTGTCAAGCTAGCATTAACATTATAACGTCATGTTTGACAGCAGAAGTTATAACGAAACATTCTTCTCGGTCAAAAGTAATTTTTAATTAAGTTTCTTGATAATCCGGATCAGGTGAAGTAGATTTAAGGCCTCCCGAGTCCTCTCGATAATTGGAATCCGTCTCTAGTTTCAAACACCTGCTACTGTATTGAGAATTTTTCTTTTTACGGAGGCTAGGAACCGGATAGATACAAAGTAATAAACAACTCAATATCGTACGGCATAGATGAACTGTACGTTCAAAACTATGAATTAAATTTTAATATTACAAAATCATTAGAAAGAATATTTATATTGATTATAATTCTGTTTGAAAGGATATTGATTCATCCAACAAATGCCTAGTAGCTCGTACTTATTCACGTCTGCGGTTATGAATCGTTCGGGTCTCAACCGGTTTCAACGTTAATTAAGAAACGATTTTAAATATTTTAAAGCGCTACTTGATCTATTGGTTTTGACACCACTACCACGTCTATCAGTTTAACAATTGATCGTTGTGCAAATGAATGATTTATTAATAGATATTTAATTGATTTTAACCCATCGTAATCGAAAAAATATTTTAATTAAGCTTTAGATCAACATAAGTAAACACGTAGCAAATGATTCATCTTTGTATACGGTAGCTTTAATTTTTGTCAGACAGAAAATACTCAATTTCGCTAATCACGATCCGAATTTACCTGTCAATTTGGATTCCCAATCAGTTACACAAAATTTACGCTTATCATGAAGTAAACGTTATCGACCAATTTGCGAAAACAATGTCAATTTACACCACTCAAATTCTTGAAAATCGTGACGGATAAAATTGATTTCGGACTAATTACAAAAAGCTTTTGCTTGCATTAATGATATATTGACGCAATTTATAGGTTTACTTAGAACGTGACTATCCCGATAGGAATCGCTACTCATATCGAGATCGATCGACATTGATGTAATTAAATAGCAAAACGGGATATAGTCGAGTGCCATCTGAACTACCGTTGCGGATGATGTGACATGTGAGGGTGTGAGAGGTGTGCGTGGGAGTACGGTTGCCCTAATGAGCCTAAGGGGAGTGGGGAGGGACAAGGGGGGTGTTGATGGTACTGCTGCAATGGCGACGGGGCCAGCCCCGGATGATGATCTATTGGATACTGCGCGGAACCAGCATACGCCAATTGCCTCACCTTCATATCGTCGTCGACGACATTATACGTTAGCTCGGTCTCCTCGTAGCCCGTGGATGCCATTCTCTGCTCGCTCGTCGTGGGAGGGTCGGGTGAATTTAAGCAGGTCTGTATGAGCCGCTTGCCCGAATCTGATGTGATCATCGGTTGAAGTTTCCGCGTCGCAAATGTGTACACATGTCCGGTTTCTGACGCAACCAATAACATCACTTGTGTTCCCGTTAGTGTTGACAGTTCGTAAGCCTGAAATAAAAAGAAATATAATTATTAAACTTATTCATACAAAGTCAATTCTGGCAAAGATATAATTAAAAACATAATCTTTTTGAAGAAAATGGATTGATATGTACCGGCGTTAGTAGCATCATTATGGAGGCACTGTTTTTTCACGGAAAATTTTCTAGTTACCTAAATGACGCATAGTCATGTATCAATGAATATCAATACACTAGAGATATTTTCCCTAAACTAAAGGATTCATGTGAGAAATGAAACTATTATACCCATATTTTTTTGACCTTTCGCCTCTCCCACGCCCCTAATTCGTAAGTAAACCTCTATACGTTTTCGGGAGCAATATCACTCTCTCACGGCTTCATGTGTGCCCGAGGAATTATCACACCCACTAGCGCCACCTACACGATTTAAACCAATTACTGTTCCCAGACATCAGCGTAATTTGAACTCTATCATATCTAACATAAGAGTTATTTGTTTGATAATAGATCAACTTGACGCCGACAATTGTCGAAACTGTAATGCGTTGTAAAATGTTTACTGGCGCCTAGAAAACTACATAGTTTTGTAAAGATGAAGAACTAAGGTCTGAACAAATTCGTGTACGAGACACATAAATCGATATTAATTCAACAAGATTTATACAATGTCAGGAGATTTTATCAAACATTTCGAGGTGGTAAAATCTCATAATTAATGAGGAAATGCAATGACAATAATTTATGTATGTGCCGGTGCGAATAACACGCCCTACTAGCGCTTAAGCAAGGTGTCATCGATCAATGATATGATTGATGATAAGCAGTAATTAGCAGCTCAATTGCATTCATGATACTAAGTGCATTATACTCGAAAGTGAATTGACCCTTAACACGCAAAAAATAAGGTCTGTCGGGACACTGCCAAAATTGACAATTACAAATGCACCAATAATGAGTTTTGTTGTTAAACATGATTGACGAGGGAGAAAAATCAGCAAACAATCGTATACAAATTAAAAATTCCAAAAAACTCTCGATTGAATGGTCGAAATGGCATCCAATTATTATTAAAGACGTCCGGGACTTTCTTTAAATTGTCAAAAGTCAAAAGTGCAAAAATAATGAATTATTATCGTATTAAGTCATCGTTCACTATGTGAAGCATGTAACGGGAAAATTAAATGTTGGCGATTATGTAAGACCATCTTAAAATATATATGTGCTAAATCAGATTATTCGTTACTTTTAAATACATAGTTCATATTTAATCTACTGATTTTTGTCAAAACCCACGACTTATCTACTAATCATAAAAGCTTAATCAGTGTAATAGTACATTTTAACTAAAGTACCTACTCTCTCGTCTCTTCTTCAAATTATGATTATGAAAACTTTTAAATATTATCGCAATTCTATCATTAAAACATTTCCTTCAACAATAAACGTATGATAACAACAGTTTAATCTATTGAATTGAATTAATGGGCAGATATCTTAAAATCTTATATCTTAAGATTATCTTAGATACATCTAAGAAATCTCTCACAACAAGTGCCTACGTAAAAATAATACTATAAATAACCTCCGCCGATGATTGGCTGAGCGGCTCCCTTTTAACGATTGAGTTTTGCAAAAAAATACACTTGACATGTGATCCAGTTAAGTCACGAGAGATAGTAGTATCAGGTGCAACAAAATTCGAAAACAGGTAGTCCAATCAGTGCGCGTGCGCCGAATTAAACTACGTTAATTTTATCGCCCCTGGTGACACAAAATGCCATTACAAACAAGAAAACAACATCAACATTATGTTAACGAGAAAAGGGAAGTAATAATAATTATAGATTAAAACTGCACTTAGGTGTAGTATCTATAGAACAGTTGTATTTTATCAGAAGTAACTTACAAAATATGGTGCAAGCTATATGTGAATCTCCAATTATTTCATACAAATGATCGCGTGACTACACTTACTAATTAATTTGGTCTTACGTTTTGTAAGAGATACAGTAATGAATATTCAGGCGACTGTCACAAAATGCAAGTGAGAATAATAGTATTGCGTTACAAATTTTTACATAATGTACATACATATGTGATACCCCTTTATAATACAGCCCTAAGAGTTCTAAGAAAAAAAAACAGTGGCGCTACAACCTCTTTAAGTCTTGGCCTCAGATTTCTGAATATGTTTCATGATCATTTTTAAATCTAATAGGCAAGTAGGTGATCAGCCTCCAGTGCCTGATACACGCCGTCGACGTTTTGGGTCTAAGACATGTCGGTTTCCACACGATGTTTTCCTTCACCGTTCGAGCAATGTTAAATGCGCACATAGAAAGAAAGTCCATTAGTAAACAGCAAGGGTTCGAACCTACGACATCAGGTATGAGAGTCGCACGCTGAAGCCACTAGGCCAACACTGCTCGAGTTCTAAGATGTTTTTTAAATACATCGCAATATCATATGTATCAAACAATTAATTACTTGCAAATATAGTCCACTAATGACAGTTACAATAAATCGGTATTTATGCAACAACACATCATCTTTAATTCATTATCTAGTAATTCAATAAACATCAGACATTCAGAACATTACAAGCAAAGAAAACTAGGATGAGACCTGGCGCCAACATCGACATGGCGACTGCTCTAAGATTTCACCTACAATCAGAGAAAACTTCGTAACATCATAAATAACCCAATGCCAGACATTCATATATCAATCATTAATTACTAATATTTGAAATTTTTTCTATGTATATAACAATAAAAATACACAACACTTTCCTAAAATTTTACATGAACACGCCGATAAGGGGAAATGTCAAATCAATTCGTTTATATAAGAATTACCATGAAAGACATAAACGATACAGATTATACAAAATTTGTTGCTTGTACAACGGAGACCTGTCGAGCTCAAAATAAAAAGCATTTCAATGTAAAATAAGTTGTGGTCCAGTCACAAATTAATGGAAAACATTTGGGACATCGCATTACGAGATGTGACATTTCTCCAAGTGCGCCTCGAGAGATGGCGCTCAAAAAAACTGCTAATTACAAATACAATGCAGTACAAAGCGACCGCTTTTCCCACGGAGCATCCAAGCGCGTGCGTACCGAACATTTTAAGCATGCTCGTCTTTTATTGCCAAAAATTAATGCCCAGTAAACAGCCCTTAATTGCAAGCCAGCCTCGTTTAATTCAGCTTCTGACAGAGAACAACCAACGCGTCACAGCAAGAGAGCGGTTCGCGGAAATCAGCATTCATGGCAAAAAGCGACCGTCAAATAATAATATTAAATCGCGCATATGCCGTGGTTCTTAACCAAATTGTAGTGCACTTGATGCATACTTCATGTTTTATAGCGTTTTAATTTTATTGAATAATGGCACACGTTCGTCGGCTCAGACCGAAAGCTTCATAATTTCAGATATCTTCATCGCCTGGAGGCCATTATGGTACCTATTAGTTCTGTTGTAAACATACAAATTATTTTATCAAAAGTAACGAGCATTTAGTACATAAAATACCTTCTAACTAATATTTAGGTTTTAACGACATAATAATACATATTTAATTTACGTTCAATTTCATAAGAAATTATTTCTATTTTTACATTAAACCTGCCGCATTTTCTTCGAATGGGAAACATCTGAGGGCCGAGTAAATTTGCACTAGAAGCCATTTTCTGAACAAAAAGCATTATTTATTCTGCGCAAAAAATGACGACAACGATTTGTCGCCTCCTATAGCGACCGCGTCTCAGCGTGAAGTATTAACACCATTAACGAAAGCTACAAGAACCAATAATTAAATGCAAACTGCAATAACAGCATAAAATTCAACTCGTTCCTGGCGGTAATGGAGCCTAGAAGACCATTATGAACACTTACCAGACTCACATTAGTATAGAAGCTAACAGTAATTGTCAGGCAGCCATGATGGGAATATAAAGGGGCTAATCAAAATACGACGATGTTTATTGCAAAAATTACTAGGCGGCAAGTCTTTTTTTTACTATTATTTAGTTGTTTTACAGTAAGACTCCAATCCTAGTTATATTTAAATATAGTATAAAGACCTACACAAAATAAATATTATAACAGTGGTATATGGTTCTACTATATTGACAATTTATATGGCAATTGGAAGAAAATATCCATTTTGTTTGTAACAAACAAATCTTTACAAATAAAGTAAATTAAATAAATGAAATGAAATATAATTCAGTATCAAACATTACACTTCTATTTCAAATAAAATTACTAATAAATAATTTTGTAGTTAATAGTACTGAAGTAATGATTTTGACGATTAAAAAAGTACGTCATAGACGTTTCTATTTTTCTAGAGTTAGGTATATTAATCATTTAAGTTAATAAAAATTACTGTTCCAGTTTGTACAGAATCTTCACCAATATATAGTTAATGCGAAATAGTAAAGATTTAAGGTCATGTAATATTATATTAAAAATTCCAACACAGTAAAATAGTATGAGTAATGCTCATTCATAAAACTTGTACAATTCATGTAAGATCTAGACTATAATAAATACAATTATATCTTCTAGTCCAGATGTTATATTGCCTACTCAACGGCTCAGCACGACCCTATAATTTTCAGTATTTGCTATAATAATAAGAAATAATTTTAAAAGAATAAATAGTTTTTATCTTTAGCCCTTAGTTTTACAAGAAAGAGGCGCGTTTAATGGAAAATTTTCGTGTTCTTGAACATCTTTTTTACAATACAACAACATCCTTGTAACACATTTAATTTAACTAAAAAGACCGACAATCAACTTCATAATCAACGGTGTTCCGACTTACAAATGTATCGCCTTACAAAATTAATCACATATTTTGAAATAAAGTAAAATGTAGATTATATAAAAGATTTCTTTCGTTTCCTTTTTAACTGATAAGAATACCAATAGCTTAACTTTTTTTAAGCCAAGGTTGAAGTTCGACAGAAGTCAACAAATCAAATAAGACGAAATTGGCTCAACTGCTTCCCTATAAGGGCGCAGTTTTGACTTATAAACGCACCGTAAACACGCATTATATACACCAGGGATCGAGGAAACCCCAAAAACAGGTTATGAAACAAGGTTGCCATATTTGTGTAGTACTCGAATGG